CTAACTCGCTGAATGATCAATGAATGCATGAGCAATTATGTTTAAGAAACTGAATTTCCTTCCAGACTTCTCTCTGGGCATCCGTGTATAGATCTTACCACAAGGAAATCTTCATTAACGCTTCCTTCTAAGCATAACCTTTAATGATTATGAAGCACGTGCTCCTAAGAGCTATTCTACACTTAAAAAAAAAAAAGATTTTATTTATTAGAGAGCGAGAGAGTGTGCACAACTGGGGTGGGGAGGGGCAGAGAGAGAGGGAGAGGCAAGCTCCCTGCTGAACAAGGAGCCCGATTTGGGACTTGATCCCAGGACCCTGGGTTCACGACCTGAGCCGAAGACCGACGCTTAACCGACTGAGCCACCTGAGTGTTCCCAAGGCTACATTTTATTGAACTATCCCTTTGCTCTGTCCAGGTTTTCACCATCATAAATAATGCCAAGACAAGCAATCTTAATACACTGTTCACTATGAACAATTTCAAATGCACAAAAATAGAGGAGTATAACAATCCTCACGTACTCAAATATAACAAATTCCTTATTATCTATATATCTAGTCAGGGTATAAATTCCTCCAGCTGTCTCACATGGTTTTAACACTTCACTTAAATCAGGATCCAAGGGGGGTGCCTGGGTGGCTCAGTGGGTTAAAGCCTCTGCCTTTTGCTCCGGTCATGATCCCAGGGTCCTGGGATCGAACCCGCATTGGGTTCTCTGCTCAGTGGGGACCCTGCTTCCTCCTCTCTCTCTCTCTCTGCCTGCCTCTCTGCCTACTTGTGATCTCTCTCTGTGTGTCAAATAAATAAATAAAATATTAAACCAGGATCCAAGCAAGTGTCACACTTACAATTGGCTGACATGTCTCTTACACCATTTTATTTTTTTTTAAGTTTGTGGGTTTTTTTTTTTTTAAGATTTTATTTATTTGTTTGACAGAGAGAGACACGGCGAGAGAGGGAACACAAGCAGAGGGAGTAGGAGAGGAAGAAGCAGGCTTCCCACTGAGCAGAGATCCTGATTCGGGTTTCAATCCCAGAACCCTGAGATCATGACCTGAGCCAAAGGCAAACACTTAACCAACTGAGCCACCCATGTGCCCCTAGTTTGTGGTTTTTTTTTTTTTTAATTTTTAATTTTATTTCTATTAGGGGAGAAGGGGCAGAGGGAGAGAGAGAGACTCTTAAGCAGGTTCCATGCCCAACACAGACCCAGACTCAGGGGTTGATCCCACAACCCTGAGATCACGACCTGAGCCAAAATTGAGTCAGAGGCTTAATGGACCAAGCCACCCAAGTGCCAGTCTCTTATGCCTTTTTTATAAAAATCTATACAGTCTCCTCCTCCTCATCATCCTTCCTCCCACCACCCCACCTCAATCCTTTGCGGTTTATTTATTGAAGAAAATGGTTTGTTTCCCCCAGCCATGATTTTGCCAACTGCATCCCTGAGAGGTCACTGACTGTGATCTTCTGATCTCTTTCTTTCTTTTTCTTCCAGTTTCACTGACATGTAAATGACATCCAGCACTGTGTTAAGTTTAAAGTGTGCAGCATAATGACCTGACCTCCGTTTATTGTGAAATGATGACTAGGCCAAGTTTAGTTCACGTCCATCCTCTCACACAGACGTACCAAAAGAAAAAGAAGGGAAATGGTTTTTCCCCGGTGACGAGAACTCTGAGGCTCTACTCTCTTAACAGCTTCCCTAGATACCAACCCATCAGTATTAGCCACAGTCCCCATGCTGCACGCCACGTCCCCAGTACTTACTTATCGTATAACTGGAAGTTTAGACCTTTCTGGTCTCTGAATTTCTTATAAACTGGTAGCTAACTCCAGAGCCTTGATCAGATCCAAGGGAGATTTTTGTTTTGTTTGGGCCAGATGGCGGTAGACACCGCTGCCAGGAAGCCCTCCTTGTGATGCCGCGGGGGAGACTACTGCTGTCCCCATATGGACATCTCTCCAGCCTATTCCTCCAGAGGGACTGGGAGCAATTCCCTGAGTTCCTGCCCTTTCAGAAAATGGGCCACCTCCCCACCGGACGCCAGTTTGGTTGGACACCAACTCTCTGCCTCACATCTTTTTTCCCTGAGTACGTGAAGTATGTCTCCATGTCTTCTGTCGCAGCTGATCCTGCTGTTGCCATCATCAGGATCTCGGTCTTTTTGCCTGGATGCCCAAAGGATTTTTTTGTTCTTTTTCTTTGAAATCTAATCATCTTATTAGGATCTGCTCCAGTTCTGGCTTTCCTCAGGCCAGTTTTCTCAAGGGCGGGCCACAGTTTTCAACAGGAAGTCTCAGTTGCTGGAGCGCGTGCTCCTGGCCCCTAGGAACTCTTGAGACTTTCCAGGACAAAGTCCGGTATTGAGGAGATTATAATGGGAGGAAGATCCAAATGGAGCCCAGGGAAGAAATTTGGTGCAAGTGCAAGAGACAGCCCAGGGGAAAGCAGGAGAGGAGCACAAAGGGGGCTGATGCAGGGAAATCCTGAGCCAGACTAAAAACAGCCACGTCAGGAAGCTGGACCGGCCATCGAGGAAAACCTGTTTCCCTTAAATGGGAGGAACAGAAAGGGACTTCTGTCAAATCCCGTACAAACTATTATAAGAAAAAAAAAGAATAAAAAGTCTCTACAGACAATGAGGAAATGCCAGAAAATGACCATGAACCAGATGAAAAACTATTACCTAATATTTCCAAACAAGCAGAAAGAAATTTGGAAAAGATAAAAACTATGAAAGGACAGCATAAATAAAAATTAGAAAGCCTCAGCGATGAGGTGATTGGAGAAATGGAAAATCTGAAACGAGATGACAGAACGCAGGAAAGGATTAGAACTAAAAGGGAAAAAAAGCAGATTGTCCATGTGAAACACACAGCTCAGCTCCTGGGAGACAGTCAGCGCTCACTGAACAGCAGATTAAAACAGAATCATCGCCATGATTTCAGTTCGGCAGCCTCTCCTCAGCCTCCGCCCTCTTTACAGCTCTGAAGTCACCCCACACTTAGCTAAATCTCACAGCCTGGGACAGATGTGAGGGTGACAACTGGACTTCAGTCAGGACTCAGATGGGGCACCAGGACTGCGCGTCGGGCCATGGAATGGCTGCCTCTCACCGGGCACCAAGATAAGAGTCTGTGGGGAGCCTGTCTAGAGACGAAAATCTTGGGCAACAAGGTCCAGTCAGGAAGACAGAGCCCAAGGTCCTGGGGCACCTGTGCATTTCTCTGTTGAGTAAGTGACACCCCCCCAAGACCCCCCTTCCCACCCACCCCCACCCCCCATAGAGCCAGGCCCAGTCCCTTCCACTAGAAGCCCAGACGGGAGAGACAATGGTGCCGCTCCCACTGAGGCCAGACTGAAAGCTACTTGTGTTCAACCTCTTTGGCTCTCGGCTCACCACGTCATGGCCTCGTGGTCTGCCCACTCTCAGACTCTGCAGGTGAGCGATGCTGAGGCTGGACAATGGGCAGAAACAGGAATTCCACGCTCCGTGGCATTTGGGTACGGTGTCATTCCAGACACATTCCTGGAAACCGGTCATCTGAGAACAGAACAGATGGGGAGAGCACAACCAGGCTGAGGTTACTGAGAAGCTGAAAAGGCTCCTTCCCCAGGGATAAGCAGCCTTTGGACGGTCTGGGTCCTTTCATGACTAACAGAAACCATACAACAGTCTATATTGCATCCCGGCGCTGAGGACGCCAAAGTCGCTGCCAACCCACCCACAGCAAGGCTGCTGTTCTCATCAGAAGCAAAGCACCTTTCTTCCTCGTGATAGATACAGCAGGAAAGGATGCTCCTATGCCAGCAAGGAGAGGTTTCCAGCTTCCTTTCCCGAGATGCTGTGGTCAAGTCAGTGAACCGACAGGCTTCTCTCTTTGGTAGAAAGGGCCTGTGCTCTGTGCATTAAGGCTGGGCTTGGGGAAAAAAAAAAAAGCTTAAGGATTCATAACAAGCAGATGTGGCCTGAGGGTTTAAAAAAATTTTTTTTCTCTAATTAGAAAATTTATTGTGGAAAAATTCCATTGCAGAAAAACAGAAGAGTACAAAAACGCATAAATAAAGAAAAATTGCCTGTAATCCTACCACACGGAGAGAAACCTATTCAATTTTTAAATATATAATCTCGTTCTATATATAGCTTTCCCACAGGACTGCCACGTGTACGAGCAAGGACTATTTCCCTTTTCCACCATTCAGGAGGTGTCTGAGAGTCAAAAGAAAGACTTCCTTGGGTGCGCAGGAAATGAGCACGGGAGGGCTACTGGGTAGGAACTTGGAGAGAGTTCATTTTCCCTTTCTCTGGAAACTGTGACGGACCATCATCTCTCCTTCCTATAGCTCCCCTAAATTGGGTTCTTATTCAAAAGGCGTTCCTCCTGGAGTGCCCGGGTGGCTCAGTCGGTTTAGGTCCAACTCTTGATTTCAGGTCCAGTCATGACCTCAGGGTCTTAGGAGCAAAGCCCCACATTGGGCTCTGCCCTGGGCGTGGAGTCTTTTGGGGATTCTCTCTCTTCCTCTCCCTCTGCCCCTCCCCCGGCTGTGCTCTAAATAAATAAATAAAATCTTTTTTAAAAAAATAAAAAGGTGTTCTTCCTGGGTGCCGGCTGCTAAGGGCAGAGTTGTGGGGGGACAGTCTGATTTGATTCAAAGAAATTGTGGGCACATGGGGCAGCCTACCCTATAAATTAGGGAATGGGGCCTCCGGGGGAGCATGGCTGGATGATAGGCCAGCTCCTGCAGGCAGAGCTCCAGGTGAGAGCACAGTGTGTGCCAGAGGCTCCATGGCTCGCGGAGTGGTGGGTGGACTGCGGCTCAGTGCCATCAGCCCCCTCCCAGCTCTTGCGGCTTGGGGCAGTGGCAAGGGCCAAGCAAGCGAGTAGAAACCAAAGACATCCTGCCGTGTGAAGAAAGGTAACTCAGCTTCGGTTTGGGTTCGTTTTAGAATCAGAACTCACCTATTTGTATCCGGAAATGATTTCTTTTCCTAGACATCAGCGAATGCTCCAGCCAGCCTTGTCAGAATGGGGGGACCTGTGTAGAAGGAGTCAACCAGTACAAATGCATGTGTCCTCCGGGGAGGACTGGGAGCCGCTGTCAGCACCTGGCCCAGACAGGTACGTGGCTGCCGTGGGGCTGGGTGAGGACGTTCCGCTGCAGAGAGAGGAGCTCCCTGGTCGTGGGTCACCAAATGCAGACGTGGCAGGAGCTCAGTTCCCCCCGCCGGAGAGAGGGCTTTTTGACCCTTGATCCCTCCGGTTCCCCGAGGTAGTTATCTGGGATGGAATTTGGCCCTTTTGTGTAACCAGCGTTTTGATGCTTTTTATGGAAGAAAATGCAGGTAGAGGGACTGACACCCCCCCCACCCCGCCGTGTGGAAGCTCCCCAGACTGGTAATTCGGCCCGAGAGGCTTCCTTGTTCCACCTTCACCTGGTGCACAGCTTCTCTGCAGATCAGCAGAATGGCTCTTCCTTTCCAATGCTCGCATCACACACTGCAAAGTCAGTAGTTACTGATACAAGCCCAAGTACCCGCAGAACTGTGCAACTAGACATTTGACTGGTGGTGAGCTTATTTAAAAAAAAATTTTTTTTTTTAATTTTTGTTATTTATTAGAGAGAGAGAGCATGAGCGGGCGGAGGGAGATGCAGGGCTCGATCCTACCAACCTGAGATCAGGGCCTGGGCCAAGGGCGGATGGTTAACCGACTGAGCCACGAAGGCGCCCCTGCTGGTCAGTTTATTATACACATCTCGAGTCCCAATACAGCCCTAGCCAGAAGGTCTAGAGGGCACAAAGTGGCTGTTTTCGCAGAGGGCTAGACAGTCTGATAAGTAATCTGTGAAGGTTCCCACACTATGCTGTAACTAGCACTTCCTATATAAAAAAGTCAGATCCTAAAGACGTCCTCTTTCCTTGCCAGAAAACCCTGGAGTGTCCTGTCTGGTTGTCTGGATTTCTCTGTGTAATCTCTGTGTGGGAAGAGGGACCGGCGGTTAACAGCAGGATGCAGAGAGTAGGGGCTCTGTCAGTACTTGCCGTTCTTGCGCCAGCCTCAATCCAAGGCCAGTTTGCACCGCTGCCCCCAGAGATCTGCTGCTGAACTGTCTTGGTTCCGTTCAGCTGAGTCAGCCTTGCTGGGAGCTCTCTCAGAATGCAGCTCCCTGCAGCCCCCCACCCCCCGGTGGGGGGGGCTGCTCTCTGTAGCCTCTCTGTGGCCTTCTTGACAGCTCCACTGCCTTGCCTTCTACCTACAAGCATAAAGGAACAAGACATGGGCCCTCCTTCAACCCAAATGAGCTGGTACTGGACCCTGAACGTTCCAAACCCTCCGTGTCAGGGTTTCTGCTGTCAGGACACAGGCATCTGCTCCTCGGGTCCAGGGGGCGCTTTACATATCAAGTATCCCTACAACAAAAACCTCCCCAGGGTCACAAGGAGTGAGCAGGTGCTGCTGAGGCCAGATGATGTCCTCATGGTCTCCACGATCAACCCCACCAAGTCCTGGCTTCTTGCTCACCTGGTCCCCCATCAGCTCTGCCAGGGTCTGCCCAGCTCGAAGGGGGAGCCTCTCTCGGAATCCTTTTTTAAATCCATTCACCTTTATCACCCCTGCCATTGTAGTGGAATATACATAACTTAAAATTTACCATTCTAACCATTTTAAGGGTACAAGCCAGAGGCATTAAGTACATTTACACTGTTGTGCAACCGTCCGCCGCTTCCACTTTTTCATCTTGCAAAACTGAAACTCTGCCCTTGAAACAGTAATTCCCCATTTCCTCCTTCCCTGGCCTCCCTCCCCGCCCCCACAACCATTCTGCTTTCCCACTCTATGAATTTGGCTACTCTGAGAACCTCGCCTAGGTGGAATCACACAGTGTCTCCTAGGGTGTCCTCTTCTGCGTCATTACTTTCGCCACCAATTCCTCTACCATCTCCCCTAAACGTATGAGATCTCTAAATACTTTGAAAACTTTGAAATTTCTTTTTCATATTAGAAAATTAATGTTCCTAGGGCACCTGGGTGGCTCAGTGGGTTGCGTGTCTGATTTTAGCTCAGGTCATGATTTCAGGGTCCTGGGTTCGAGCCCCACATCCAGCTCAGCGTTCAGAGGGGAGTCTGCTTGTCCCTCCACCCCTGTCCCCATTGGTGTGCACATGCTCGCTCGCTCTCTCTCTCTCAACTAAATATATAAAATCTTTTTAAAAAAATCGATGTTCCTGGTTTAAAGACAAAAACCTTGGATACTTTAGAAAAGTATAAAAATTACAATAGGGATGCCTGGGTGGCTCACTCAGTTAAGCGTCTGACTTTGGCTCAGGTCATGATCTCAGGGTCCTGGGATCCAACACAGCAAGGGACGCCCTGCCCAGAGGGGAGTCGGCTACTCACTCTCCCACGCCCCTCACCTCCTGTAGGGCTCTTTCTCTCAAATAAATATATATTTTTAAAATTACAATAACAAAAAATATCCCTTCCCGCCCTCCCCACCCCCAGTGTATTACATTCCATAGTTTCAAGCTCCAGGGATCACTGTTAAGCCTTTTGAAGGGAAAACGTGGACTGAACACGCCCGCGGCCCTGCTGGGGGGCAGTCGCGCGGTCTGCGTGGTCCTGCAAGGTGCTCTGGGGCTGCGCTCCCCCTGCTCCAGCCCCTCTGGACGGCCCTGAGCGTCCCCGGGTTTGTGGTGATTTATTTGTCTTTCCTTCCCTACTCCAGAGTAGGGCCCGCGGCAGGGCGCCAGGGCCGGGCACTGAGGGTGTCTTTTCCCCGCAGCGGCCCCCGACGACACCGTAGCCGGCGACTCCGCCTTCAGCCGCGCGCCGCGCTGTGCGCAGGTGGAGCGGACGCAGCACTGCAGCTGCGAGGCCGGGTTCCACCTGAGCGGCGCCGCGGCCGGCGACAGCGTCTGCCAGGGTAGGCCCCGGGCTCTATCGGGGGCAGAGGGGGGTGGGGCAGGGGAGGACCCAGGAGAGGACAGGGCTCCCACTCGCCACTCGCCTCCCTCCGGCTACCGGCGCACCAGCGAGCGGGCGGGGGTGGTGGGCAAAGTATCAGAAAGCCCGGCCCACGTTGCATTCTAGGTAAGCGTCACCCTAACGGTTGCTGAGACATGGACATCAGAGGCGATCCTAAGAAATCAAGATCGTGGACAAAGCAGTCGGGGGTGCCCAGGCTGGCCCCCATCTCAGAACCCAGCCACAGTGCAGTGCCAACCACGCACACCCACCTAGAAGAGCCTGGAGCCCCCCTCTCCCCTCCATCCCTGCTGCAGTGGCACAGGGACGGGTGGCAGAGAGGAGCTTGAGTCTTCACGCTGGCTAGGCAGGCCCCCTGTGCTGTGCAGGGCTCCAGGACTCCATTCCCTGACCCCCTCCTCCACTTAGGTTTAGGGACCCAGCCAACTTTAGCTCACCTCTCCTGGTTACCAAAGTGCCTTCTGAGAACAGCTCAAACCAAGTGGGCCCAGACAGGAGAATTGCCCAACTGGTGTTACTGCCTCATTTTACAGCAGCAGACATGAGACCCTCTTCCTCTAACCCCAGAGATGAGGCCAGTTCAGGTGGGGCTGGGTGCAGGCTGGTAGTCTGGGCTGCCCGCCTGATGCGCGGGCCTCTACAGGGTCCCCTGTTAGTCTTCAGCCTCAGACAGAGGAACCCACCTAGGATCTACCATGTACCTCTCAGCCCTCCCCACAGCTTTCTGGGCCCTTGGCTGTGGAGGAGGGGGAGCATGCTTGTTCTTTTTCTGGGCGTTCTGCTGGGAATAGGATTTGCCTAGCCCCCCCACCCAGACCCAGCCACTTAGCCACGGTGGCCATTGCCTCCAGGAACTGTGGCATAGCCAACCTGGGTCATGGTTGGCGGATGTCCACCCCATGGCTCCTGGTCATACTGGGCACTTCTGTCCCCAGATGTGAATGAATGCGAGCTCTACAGGCAGGAGGGACGCCCCCGGCTCTGCATGCACACCTGCGTGAACACCCCGGGCTCCTACCGCTGTGCCTGCCCCAGCGGGTACCGGACACTGGCTGATGGGAAGAGCTGTGAGGGTGAGTGACGCTGCTGCAGAGGCAGGAGGCTGCAGGGCTCGAGAGAGAGCCTGGCTGGTCCCAGACAGCGGGGAGAAGGAGCAGAAGAGAAGGCAGAGGGCTCCTCCGTGGGCCCAGGTAGAATGTGAGAGAAGAGGTGGCTCCCTGGTGACATCCTAGTGGGATTCTGCTGCGAAGGTCAGAGGAGTGGGTAACCTGGGACCGGAGAGGACACCTCCATCTGTCCATACAGCCCTCCCTTGATCCCTCCATCCATCCACTCATCTTCCCAACCATCCATCCCTCCCTCCCCCCTTCCATCCCTCCATCCATCCATCCCTCTATCCAGCCACCCATCCCTCCCTCCCTCCATCCCATAAGTATTCAAGAAGGCCCGGGTAGAACTCTGCAGATTGGGAAGAAACAGCCTTCAGCTGGGGCGAAGGTGGCCGCAGACTTCATTCAAAGGAGAGTGAGGACATCTGCATTTGGGTGGGGTGAGGCTGAGGAGAAAGGCTTTCCAGAAGACTTGACTCTTAAAGGGCCTGAAAATAGACATTGAGGGAAGACTCCAGGGCCCTGAGGCTGAGAAGGAGGCAGCTCGGAGAGAAGCTTTGTGACCTGGGACTGGTCACTCTCCTGTGCTTCTCTGTCACCTGTCTACCCCGTGGAAGGACAGGATCCCAGGGAGGGGAGCTCCCCAGCATGGTTTTGCAGCCCTTCCACGAGGTCTGGATTTCAAATAGTGAACGATGACAGGGTTTCCTGTTTGAAAAATAAGTACTGGGTATTGAGAAAGCCCACCACACTCCAGCGCCTGTCTGGGTTTTTCATGTGGTCCTGTGACAGAAAGGGACGTCAGGGGATCTTCACTCTTCCCGGCTGTCCCTTATTTCAGATGTCGATGAGTGTGTGAGCCCGCAGCTCGTGTGTCCCCGGGGGACCATGTGCATCAACACCGGTGGAGGCTTCCAGTGCGTCAGCCCGGAGTGCCCCGAAGGCAGTGGCAACGTGAGCTACGTGAAGACCTCTCCGTTGTGAGTAGAGCCGGGGCTGCTCACGGCTGGGTGCTGACGTCCCTCACCCCGGCCTCCCGGGGGGGCTGGGGCAGATTCGGAGGTTCTTAGGAGAAGATACAGTCAGATCCAAGGAAAGATGGAAGGCAGGGAGCTGGGAGTCTGGCTTCGCTGAGCTTCCATTTCCCTTTGGTGGTTGCATTTAATGCATTGCTGCTCTGTGCAGTGGGAACCCAGTCTGCCCTGCTAGGAGCTCCTGTTCCAGGTGTTCCCCTGCTGACTTGGAGGATGTTGGGATTACAGCCACGCAGGTGCTGCGCTGTGGGGGTGGGGCGACACTGGCCGCAAGAGCACTGTGGTGACTGGGAGGCAGGTACATATTACAGGTTTGGGAGAAGATCATCTTCTCAGGCTCTCGTGCCCACTAACTGGTCGGTTCCAGTCACAACGCACGCCCTGTATACTTTGTATTATATTGATCGACTTTTCCACTGGTTTAGGTTTGATTTCTGGTAACCTCAGCACCTGATGGTTTGTGGTGGTTGTTTTCAAAAGGTAGGAGACAGGCCTTTCAGGAGAGTAACGATAACTATCACAAAGTACATGTATTTTCTTCTGAAAAAGCGATCACAAGAGCCTTAGCATTGTCTTTAGGATGAGTTAACTTCCCAAGCTCAGATACCTGAATTGCTTTTTGAGCTATGGCAGAGTAGAAGCATCAAGAAAGTCAGTGGCCGAAGTCACTCAGTGAAGGGACTCCACGTCATAGCCTCTGGGGACATCCATGATTATAGGCCAGATGCGATACTCGACCTACATAACTGTGATTATATGAGTCACAAAATTGCTAAATTGTATCTGTGTGTTGGATGAGGTAGAGAAATACCAGAAGCACTTCCGCAAGATCCTGATTCCAAATGGTTAGGAAAGACAGGGCTTCCTCTTTAAGAATCAACTATGGGTGTTTGCAAAGTTCACCTCGCACTGAGCACTGCATTCCAAGGTGTTGGCTGCTACCTGCTGGGGTGCCGCCATTACGGACAGAGGTCTTGGCACGGGCAGAAGGGGCACCTGCTTTATCTTCCCAGCTTTACTTATCTGTAAAAACTCCGGTAACAGCATGTATAAATACACGTGTACATGTGTACGTATAGAGGTGGGTCAGGGGAGCACCACACCTGCCACTCCCTACCCTCTGAGCCTCTGTGCTGAGGGACTGTGGCTGGAAAAGTCACCCTGGAGGCCTCTGCAGGAAGGCAGTGGGGCAGACAAGCCAGGTCAGAGCAGCCCCTCCCGAGTCTCCCCAAGGCTGACTCCCTCCCTTTTGGCCTCTCCGTTCCAGCCAGTGTGAGCGAAACCCCTGCCCCATGGACAGCCGACCCTGCCGCCACTTGCCCAAGACCATCTCCTTCCATTACCTCTCTCTGCCCTCCAACCTGAAGACGCCCATCACGCTCTTCCGCATGGCCACGGCCTCGGCCCCGGGCCGACCTGGACCCAACAGCCTGCGCTTTGGGATCGTGGGCGGGAACAGCCGGGGCCACTTCGTGATGCAGCGCTCAGACCGGCAGACGGGGGAGCTGATCCTGGTCCAGACCCTGGAGGGGCCGCAGACACTAGAGGTGGATGTTGACATGTCGGAATACCTGGACCGCTCCTTCCAAGCCAACCACGTGTCCAAGGTCACCATCTTTGTGTCCCCTTATGACTTCTAAGGCAGCTGGGGTGGGGAGGGTGGTCACTGCAGTGCAGAGATCTGGGCTCCTTTTGCTTCCTCAGAGACCCTGCTGTGGGCCCCGACTTCGACAGCAGTCTCTCCCTGTCCTGCCTTATCCTCGCCCACCCGCCTCCCTGCCCGTGTCCCCCGGCTTCTTGGGCAGTGCCACACACTCTTCCGGGGAGCGGCAGAGAAGGGCAGCTACGGGACCCACGCTGCTGCCATGATGGTTTTTTTGTTTTTCTGCTTTAAGTTCTTCCTGTAGATTATGCAGTAACTTTCTCAAGTCTTTCAGAGAAGTGGGCAGTTTTTCAAAATGCTGGCTGAATGGCATTGGGAGTTTGAACCGGCGGGGGAGGGACTATGTCTGTGTTACAGTATATGTCTGAGAGGCCCGTCAGTCCTCTCTATGGTTAGAGTCACACCATGTTACGAAGAGGTTCTGGTGTGCTGAGGACCAGTCCTGCCCCGCTCGTGCGGCATGGGGAGTGGGTCTTCTGCCACAGCCCAGCACAGTGCTCTTGTCTGCATTCCTTCTGTGACACGCTGGCCAGCCTTCTCATCAGAAAGCCATGGCAGGGCCTGGAATCCCCACCCTGATTCTTCTAGACCAAGGAAACAACATTAAAGCCTAAGTTCTGCTGGAATGAATTCCCCTTTGAGAAATCGTATCTCAGAACATGACCTGGTCTCACAACTAAGGAAATAAAGTCTATTGCTCCTCCATGCCCACCTGGCCTGTCCCAGCACATGAGTTAGCTCAGGACCTTCTAGGAAGGGATACCTGGCTCTCTTCTGATCTAGGTGGGACCCACTGAGATAAATGCATGAAAAAGAAACCATGGAGGCAACCTTGGGATTGAGCCAACAATAGAAACTTGGCTGGGCCAAATGGGAGATTGGTAAAGCCACACGTGGCTGTGATGAGCTTAAGAAAAGGCTTGAATTTACATTGATTGCAGGGCCTCCTACTCCTGATGTAGGAGCCAAGGGGCAGTGCCCTCCAGCTGACTGAGGAAGGCAAGCACCGGCTGGGATGGGGGCAGGGGGTGGGTGGAGGAGACTGTTCACGTTAAGGCTTAAGAGCCAGATAAACTGGGAGGAGATTTCAGTATCCAAATACATGCTAATCTAGGTGACGTTTCATCAGACATTTTATTTTAAAATTTCCTATATTTGTCTTGGTATGAGATGGAGCCAGAGGAAGTATGTCACCCGTTTAGTGATCAAGCCATATACCAAGACAGTTTCCAGGAAAAACCTATCCCCTATCCTTGTCTTATTTTTTTCAAAGAGTGAGACACAGTCAAGAGCTGCTTTTGACATGTTTCTTCTCCTGTAGCTCGACTGCAGTCTCTCCTGACAACAGAATGAGGGTCTGCAAATCTGCCTTAATGGGTTGTTACAAGATTATCTTCAAACTATTAACCACAGCCTTGCATTTTCAAGTGGTGCTGTGACTCAGGTTAGAAGCCTGCATGCCATCCGGTCCCCTGTGCAGAACGTCAGGGAGGGCAGTCCGAGGGCAGTCCAAGGGCATGGCCGTGACCCTGAAAGTACAGTGTTACAGTGGTACATTCTTCCTGCCGGGAGCAGGACTGGTTCCAAAGGGCAAGCCTCTCACCTCCCAGCAGGCAAGGAGTGACTTGGGGAGCTACAGAGCACATGCCCCGCCTAGACTGGTGTCTGACGATAACTAGGATGCCAGGAAGGCCCAGCCTAAACCAGTGGTTTACATCACCAAGACCTGCCTTCATCAAAACTGCTTCCTGTTGATGAAATCCGACATCCAGCCCAGTCCCTGCAGCACCAAAATATCAATGCCTGGTGGTGTGGGACGCCCTCTTGTGGATGATGCCTGGGCCCTTCCTCCATGGGCAGTACCCTATGTCTGCTCTCTCTCTGCCACTCACTTTCCCTGGGGAAACCAACTTCTCCCCAGTCCTTTCCTAGCTGCGGTGTGCACTATGCCAGAGGAGGGTGGAGTTAACAAAGAGTAGCCAGGAGTTGTACCCCTTTCCAGGTAAGAAGAGAGCTTCCTATCATTGGCAGGGGGCTTGTAAAACTTGTTAATCAGGCATAGTTACAAACATGTACAGAAGTAGAGAGCATAGTATGGTGACTCCCACGTCCAAACCACCAGCTTCAACAACTAACACACAGCCAACCTTCCCCCACCTCTTTTCTCACCCCAGCCCGTGATGATTCTGAAGCAGATCCTGGACATCATATCATCTCAACACTAGACATTTCTACGTGTATCTCTAAACCACAAGGACTTCTGAAAAAGCTTCACCTCCATACCAATCACGCTTAAAAAAATTAGCAATAATTTGGGGCGCCTGGGTGGCTCAGTTGGTTGAGCGGCTGCCTTCAGCTCAGGTCATGATCCCAGAGTCCAGGGATTGAGTCCCCTATCAGGATCCCAACTCCATAGGGAATCTGCTTCTCTCTCTGACCCTCCCCCTTCTCATGCTCTCTCTCTCATTCTCTCTCAAATAAATAAATAAAATCTTTTTTTAAAAATTGGCAATAATTCCTTAATACATTCAATGACTCAGTCATTGTTCAAACTTCTGAGTAGCTCAGGAGTTTTTGTTTGTTTGAGTTAGGTCCATGCTCTGTAATTTGTGGTCATGCCTCTGGAGTCCCCTTTAAATGTAGCATCGGCTCTCACCCGTTAGCACATACTGGAATCACCCAGAGGCCTGTTAGAGATCAGTACTGGATGGTGTATCCTGGAGAATTTCTCACAGCCTGGGTCTTGCTGGGTGCGTCTCTGCAGTGTCTTTTAACATGTTCCTCTGTCCCATTTCTTACACATCAGTAGTTTATCGAGAGATTTAGTCAGAGTCCAGTTGTGTTTATTTGTACAAGACTACTTTATTGGTGGTGACAGGTACTTCTAGGGGGAGCCATGTAATCTCTAGTTGCCTCTCTTTTCTGGTGGTAGCAGCCATTCGTGATTATCATAGACCCATAACCTCTTTAGGGGTTGCAAACACTATTCTAGTGCTGATGTCTCTTCTTCGTTAGCTGGCATACTTTATAAAGAGAAACTTACTTCTATCAATTATTCATTTGGTCACCCTGAAGTTTGATTTGTAGAGGAAGGCAGCAAAAATTCTTGACTTTTTCCCCTTCCTCAGTTTCCAAGATGGTTTTCCGGCATCTTTCCAAACTGTCCAGCAAGAGTTGTTTTCTTTTCTTTGAGTACATCATACACTCTTGATTTAAACATATTTCATGTGTGTTTTAATCCACTGCAGTTGTTTTCTTTTACTGTTACTCAAATTATCCCATCTTTGGCTCTTGGGAATCACGTTAATTGGCTGATTCCTTTTGACGTGACCCTAGTTGGTCTTTGACATTTTGTATATCTTGTATGACAGGATGTTTCAAGCTCATCTTGGGTGTTTTATGACCTAGCCCTGAAGTCGTCCAGTGATTCCCAGGGATCCCTGGTTCCTCTTAGTGGGGAAAATCTGGGTGCTAGGAGTGCTCATTGGTAGTGGTTTGGTCACTGTTTCTTGGTGTTAGTGGACAGAACTAGGAAATATTGCACTACGAGTTTTGTTTTTTTAACTACATGAGTTTATAAAGGTACTTCCAATTCGACTCAGGACTACAGGATTTTTAATGTAACCTTATTGATTTTACATCTGCTCTTTTTTCACTAGTTCTAAAAACCTCTTTCTCAAAAATCACCAAAATAATTACATATTGTTTTAAACCATCAGAGTAACGATGCCCAAACTGTCATAAAAAATAATTACTGAGAACAGTTAAGATTTTCTTTTGCAGTTCTTTTTGTCCTTAGGGTTTTTGCCATTAGAGATGTTCAGTCAGATTACCATTTTAAAATAACTTGAAATAGTGGTTATGTTCCAAACGTGAATCAGGGTTATGGTTATTCACTTTATTTTGCTTCAATTTTTAGACCTTGCTCTTTTCATTTTAATTTTTTTGTAATTATGTAAACTATTTACATGGCTCCAAAGTCATATCCAGGAAGTGAGCAACATTCAGAGAAATCTGTATTCTGACCCAGTCCCCTCTACCTATTGCTCCTTCTGCCTTAGATAATTTTTTTTCCATTTCACCCTTCCATTAAATAAAAAAAAGATACACACACACACGATAAATGATAGCACACTATTTCATACTTTCCTTGGTCTTGCTTTTTTTCCTGTAACAATATATTGAATATCATTCCATAGAATCAGATAGAATGTTCTATTAAATGCTCCATTTTGAAGTCATACATACCATTGTTTATTCAACCAGTCACCCCTGACTGATATTGGGGTTGTTTCCAATCCTTTGCTATTAAAAGTATTGTGGCAATATACATTTGTCTTTTTGCCTTTGTATCGCTGAGGTCCATTTTTTCCTCCATGAAGATGATGCTACTTTCTATCTGCAACAGTGTATAGGAGTTCCTACTTCTGAATCAGAGACGGCCCCAGTGGTGTCCCTATTTCTCAGATCTGCACACCCACCAGACCCTCCTTTGGAAGGACAGAGAATCCTGAGTGTAGGGTTATTCCACAATTAGTTCCCTTGCCTGTCCTGAGCTCCTAGCTGTCAAGAGGCACCAGAAAGAGATGAGGCACTGGCCCAAGTGGATCCCTGACTCATGAGAGATGGAAAGTTAGCTAAGTTTTTGGATAACGTTCAAAAGTCATGTTTTGTAAAATGTAGCATCTCCAACACTAGCAAACAAAAAGGAAAATAAGCCAAGGACAAAATATCACTGCAGAGTCATAGGAAACTTGGTGGGTTTCCTGGGAATCCGAGTGTGTTCCTCAAGGTCAGTCATGAAGAAGCCAGACCAGAATGGGTCATCTGCCACCAGCCGCTGTTTCAGCTTTTACCACGCTCACTCTGCAGGGATGGAGAGGTGGACTATCGTGATGGCATCTCGTACATGTGAAATTTATCTCATAAATGTGAAAATCTATGGGTGTTTATAAGCTGCATCACCATCCTTGTCTTTGTCAATAATCTTGGCTCACTGCAGAGTGATAAAGATGACAGTAGTGATAAAGTGATAAAGATACACTTTAGATAAAGATTTTTATCTTCGAAAAAGTAACAACTGTTGCTAAAGTCCCAGAAGAAGGCCATTTGCAACGAGTACAAAGTCACATCAGGGACATGGCAGAGGCTGATTTTCAAACATTGTACCCTTTTTTTCTTTTATTGAAAGAGAAACTGGCTCATATTGTAACTAGTAATGATATAATTCTACTTCTTTCTGCAGGACCAGCCGAAACAAAGGGCTCAATCAGCATATTTCATAAAGAGAGTCATTGACTCCAGGGATAAGGAAGGAATTTGGACTCTTAATCCTAACCCTGGATTAGCCTAGAGGCTGGAAACAAAATCAAAGCCATTCTCCCTTCAGGATCTGCCCCTCCTCTCCCTCCCTTCTCCCCTCTCCAGCAGGATTCCCACAGTAGAAGGGGTGTGGCTCTTACTCCCACAGCACAGCCATGGGAGCCCCCTCTGTGGCTTGCCCGTGAACGAGCACTTCAGTGAGAGTCTCTGCTTTCATGAACATGAAGTGACATTAGAGAGCAAGGTGGGGGTGGGGTGGGAGGACTTGATTACAGTCAACTTGTGCCCTAAGACCCGAAACACATGGCCACCATTTCCTTTTCCTCTTTTTCTTTTTCTTTTTTTATTTTTTTTTTTTCAAGATTTTATTTATTTATTTATTTGACAGACAGAGATCACAAGTAGGCTGAGAGGCAGGCAGAGAGAGAGAGGTGGAAGCAGGCTCCCCACTGAGCAGAGAGCCCAACGCGGGGCTCGATCCCAGGACCCTGGGATCATGACCTGAGCCGAAGGCAGAGGCTTTAACCCACTGAGCCACCCAGGCACCCCCTCTTTTTCTTTTTTAAAATATTTTATTTATTTATTCAGAGAGAGAGCACGCACAGAGGGAGGGGCAGAGGGAGAGAGAGAATCTCAAGCAGATGCCCCGCTGAGCACGGAGTCCAAAGTGGGGCTCGATCCCAGTACCTTGAGATCATGGCCTGAGGCAAAATCAAGAGTCGGATGCTTAACCAACTGAGCTACCCAGGTGCCCCCCGTTTCCTCTTATACAAACAGAAGATACAATTTATAATTTAGCTCAAAAGTGAGGCAAAACACACACGGATGGGAATGCCACAGAAACTCCTCCGAGGCCAGGCAGGGCCCTCCCGGAAGCCGAGCCATCTCCCAGGCAGTCTCCACAGGCACCACTGTACGTAGCTGCCCCTCTCAGAGCTGGCGGGGGATGCGGTGGTCAGATAGGCAGGTCCCTGCCCTAGTGTGCCCCCTCATAGGATCTGCCACACTCTCCCCTTGATAAAGAGTGAAAAACTGCTCTGCTGTCAGCCAGGCTGTAGAGCAGAACCAGGGAACTGAAACAGAAACCTCAACATGACGAAACGCAAAGCTCTAGGCCTCACACACCCCATAACCCGCCTCCCTTCAGGGCACGCACGTCACAGAGCGTCCCGGTATAGACTCCTCACACTTGTTCACTCACAGACAAGACCACCAACCCTGCCAGCAGCTCTCTAGTTGACAAAATCTGACCCATGCCTGCCAAGACCATCCCATCACTCTAGTCTCAAGAACTCGAATTATCTTTCTAACTCCCTTCTGTTGAGATGGCCCCCAGCCCCCTGAATTGCAACCTCTCCCTCATTACAGCGAATAATAAGCATGTCGTTGTTGACTCTAAGTGGGTCCCGGGTGGTCTCTGATGGGCATCAACTCCCAACTCGAGCAACCAGTGCTTTCTACCAGGGCCCCAGGATCCCTGGCATGCAGAGCTCGGCTGGGTGTAGCAGGGATTTGAGGACGGCGCAAGTTAAGAGTCCTGAGTCTGGAAATAAGAAGGGAGGCTGGGTGGCCCAGGAGGAGCTGCAAAGCCTCCAAGGCCCCTCACGTGTGCATGTGAATGTCACATACAGATCTTCCCTAAATTATGATGGGCTCACGGCCCTATATTCCAACCCATTATAGGTTGGAAATTTCCTGAGTTGAACATGCATCTGCTACACCTAACCAAGTGAACCTCATAGCTTAGCGCAGCCTCCCTTACATGTGCTCCAGACTTTTCAGCCCCTGCTTGCATGCTCTCTCTTAAAAAGAAAAAAAAAGAAAGAAATTTTGATAATGATTTAATGAATACTGAGTGAGGGACTTCTATGTGCCTGATCCTTGCAGTCACAGCCTTGAACAAGACAGACATATTGGATGCCCTTGTGTTGCTTCCAGAATATCAGGGACAAGGAGTGCAAGGATGCTGAGCCCAGAAGAGAATCGAGGATGAAGGGCACTATGCCTGGCGTTCACTAAAGCTGTCCCCTAACCACAGAGATGTGGGCCAGGCCTCTCCTTGTCAGCGAGGAGAATGACACCCGCAGGCATGACTGAGGTCCTAAGCCCCTATTTTCCAATCCTGGAATTGGACCTGGGGGCTGAAGAAAGGAGGCCTGCTGTTCGGAGGGTGGGCCCAGGAGGCCTGTGTCACAATCCTTTACACAGCTCCGACACCACGCTGGGCACAGCTCTGGTGTCCAGCTGAGCTTTAACAAAATAACGGCCATGGGTACCAGCGCGTCCCCCGACTTGTTACAGGGCACCCTCTTCTCTCTGTCTTGCCTTTCGGCCCCCAGATTGGGGCAGGGGTCGCTGCACATCCCATTTAAAAAATCAGGGTGACTCTCTTCTCTTTCCTGGTTCAGATTTAGCTGGAGAGCATCTCAAAGAACATAGCCTTCCAGCTTGGCAGGCAGGAGTGGCAGGGGCCAAGGGAGGCTGGGCAGGTTTCTGTTTCCGGAGGGGCCGCGCACATCATCTCCCCAGCTTGGGGAGAACATAGAACCCTTCACAGCTGCACAAGGACAAGCATTCAGCCTCTGAGACAATCAGGAATTCACGGGGACCAGGTTTTCCGCCTTCATGGACTGAAATGACTGTTTTATGCGCGTTTGGCTGAAATAAGGAGCATTTCTGTTGATTCCGGGTTCACCTAACAGAGTTCAGCTACGCGAGGAAGTTTAAATTGGCTTGCAGTCCGTGGGCCTACAGAAAGCTGAAAAGAGCTGGTGTGTCAGCAGATACGGAGCCGAAGCACAGATTTGCTCAGGAAGTCCAAGATTAAAGTCGAGTTTATATTATTATGTAACGAATATACCTGCCAAGCAACACATGCAGGCAAATAAATTTGAAGTATTTTTGCATAGGACACAGCTGGGATAGAAAACTTGTATTTATCTAAGGCTTATGTGAATTGGTAAATAAGACCACTTCTGTGGAACTCTTAAAAAAGGTAGTTACAAATCTGGAACAGGAGAGAAGGTCCCAGATACTCAGGAACAAGGAGCATCCTGCCAGAAAGAGGAATCCCTGGATGGTGAGGCAGAAAGGGGGAATTCTGAAATAAAAGAACTAGAAGCTGGCATACATTCAGTCTTCATACCAGTCACAAACAAATATCTCTAAAGTGCAGACAGGAGTGGGTGGGGGGACAGAAGGTATTATGATGTCAAACAATACTTAAAAGTGAACCACAGTTTCTACTTCCAGAATGGCAGACTAAGGATCTCTGAAAATCCACCGCTCCATAAAAGGCATGAGAGAAATGGCAAAAACAGTCAAAACCCATTTTTCCAGAATTCTGGAAATTAAAGGCTTATGAGAGAGAGAATTTACTCAAGAAAAACAGCTGAATCTTGGTAAAATGCCTTGTGGCAGTCACTTGTCCTAATGTTGTTCTCCTCTCCCCAGTCCCACAGTCGCCTTGAAGACCAACAGCCCCACAACTACAGACACTGCAAAAACCAGAGCCCTAACCCTAGCGGTCCCCGGAGTGGGTAGGCCAGATTCTGGGCTCCTCAGAAGCCCCATTCCCCACCAGACTGTCACTTTTCGATCTGTGTTCTCAGGGCCTGTCTTCATCTAACCAGACGCCATAGCAAGAATCATACCCAGCACCTACATCCTGGATTATAAATACTAGTCTCCATTAGAAGGAATCAGAGCTCCTTAGAGAAACGGTGGATTTGAAGGCTGGGGTGGGAATGTACAAAATGAGCCCGGAACACCTGTTCCAAATTCATTCATTCTGGTTGGCAGATGTCAATAACTTGGGGTTTTATAAAGACTGAGTTCTCGCTTCTTCTGCACCATTCAAGCGTTGTTCTCGGCTCTAGACACATGGCCCTCTCACAACATGGCAACCTATTTCTTCGAGGCCAGGAGGAGAAGCTCCCTTCTAATCTTCGGCTTCAGGAAGGACCCAGTCACTTTTAAGGGTTCATATGATTATAGCTTAGGCTCGCCTGGGAATCTCTCCCTTTTGATTAAACTCCAAACCAACTGATTTAAGATTTCAATCATTTCAGAAGTAAAACCACTTCATCTTTGACACATAATGTAAGATGCTCATGGGAGTGAAATCTATCACATGGTAATGACCAGAGGGTAGTGGTTAAACAGGTCGTGTACACCAGGAGCAAAGAATCTTGGGAGCCATCTTAGAATTCTGCCTACCACAAAGAGGGGAGGGGAAGTTCAGAGACAGGGAACCACTCTTTTTCATAAAAAAATCTTATGTTTTCATAATTTATTAATCCAAAATAAATTTCATAAGTTTATCTCACAGTAAACTTTTGACTATATACATACATAAATTCAATTTAAAAATTACATTCAATCAAATCTAAATGTCACTAACTTATCAGTAAGATCCATCATTTTTTATGCACCAGTAAGAAAAAACAACCTGCTGAGTAAAATGTGATATTCCATCAACTGTAAAATACATTCCAAATACAGAGATACTAACTATGAAAATAAACACATATCCCAGAATGACACATAGCAACTAAAGATATGCCCTTTTTTCTTACTTTATTTTTAAATCATGTGGAGAGTGTTACAAATTTTATGGGAATCAACCCCACTTTGAATTGAGTTGGGCATCTTATCCCTGCAGACCCAAAATATACATTTTCTCCTTTCCTTTAAATATACCTCTTCCTTCCCAGTTACTGCTCCATGCCTGAAAGAAAACTGTCTTCAGTGAAGAAGGTGGTCAGGGGAGAAACATGAACTTTGGACAGATAAATGGAGGTTTGATTCTTGACTCACATTTATCAGCTTGCCTTTGGCTGCAGGTAACAGGGAACTCAAATCAAAATGGCTTATAGAGTAAAGAAAATGTGTTTCTCATGTAGTATAACACGAAATGTGAAGGTTGATATCTCCTAAGACTGAGAAATTCCATGGGTCAGTTGTTATCAAGGACCCAGCTTCCTTCTCTGTCACCTTCAGCTGGTAAGCTAGCTCCCCTTCAGGTCGTAAGACAGCTACATCTGTTCTGGTGTCATATTTAGACATGGCAATGTCTAACCTCGTGTGTCTCAAGAGAGGTTAACTTTCCTGTAAGTGTACACTAAGGACAAGGATTCATATTTCAAGCCTAAACCAGCTACTGGCAAGAATGGGCACTTCCATTAGCTGTTGAGACCTGTGGTTTTCAAACTTGGCTATGCTTTAGAATCACCTGGGAGCTACCAAAAATCTCATGACCGCACCCCAGGCCTCCCTATACCCTGCCCCCCTCCACTGCCAAAAGGAAATCAGAATTTCTAAGAGTAGGCCCCAGGCATCACTGTTTTGTGTTTGTGTGTGTGAGTGTTTTTTAAATTTCCCTTTAAAAAGATTCCAATGCTAAGCCAAGGTTGAGAACCACAATTTTAGATCTTTGCTGATACAATCTTAAGGGTTTAAGCCAGAGCCCACCATCTATAAAACAAGATGATAAATTGGAGGAGGAAAGGACACCTAAGCAAAACCGAAATTCTGTTCGAAAAGGGAGAAAACATAGGTGATGGTATGCAACTAAGCAGATAAGCTATGGAGACTCAAGGCAGGTAATGCCTTCTTATAAATATGGTTTCCTTGTCTGTAAATAATAATAACAATGACTATTGCTATAATAATCCCCAGTATAGGATTATAACAGCTATTAAAAAGGATTTCATATGTATAATCCTAGCATTCAGCAGGTGTTTAACCTAAGACACTGTGATCTCCTTAAACTCCAAATATGGCATTTATGCTTCTAATTGTCAGTATGAGCCCCATATTCCATAGGCCAGATCACCAAGTCATAGTATTTTGACCTCAACAAGCAAGAGCTCAGAAGAAATCTTTGAAAGCAACCCTCCAGTGGTTATGCTTAGCAAAACCAGTCAATGGAGTGAGACACTTGTGCTGGAAGTCAGGAAGCCTACTGAGACAACCAGCAAGTCATTTAATACCTCTGGATCTGAATTCCTTAAGTTCTATAATGAGATCAAATCAAAACACCAAAAGACTACAAACTCGACTTCTATTATCTTACCAATTGAAAAAAATTGAGTTTTACTGTCTTGTGGCTTTCAGCAACTGACCACAAAAGAGAAGTTATATGAAACCTGCCACACAGAATCTTAGAAATGAAAATTGTGTTCATTCTACTCATGAAGTAGACCCACACAAGAATTATTTACATGAATTGTTAGGAGAGGTGTTTTATATCCCACCTCCTTTCTGATAATGAGAAGTTAAAGAGATAACTATGTCATCCTTTTTGTTTTGGTTCTAAAAAAAGATCAGAGATAAATTTAATATAGTCAAGATAACCATGCTGGCCAAATGATGCAGAAATCCATGTACAGATTTTCCTATCACAATGGTCTTACATTTCTTCTGGTCCAGATTTCTTTCTTTTTTTTTTTTTTTAGTGTTTCTGGTTTTAGTGCTCATGTAACTGCCTGGACCTGTATCAAGGGTTAGGGACATTTCCCTCATAGAAAGAAACCAAGAGGAGCAGCAGCGAGGAGCACAAGGTAGCAGGAACTAAATATGGTACGGCTGAGATGGACATACCACAGGGCACTGAAGACTGGCGGACAAATGGATCTTGATTCAGTACTGCTCAGGGCGGGGGGGACATGGTTGAAGCAGGACACTGGGAAATGGGCTCTCACTGAGGAAAAGAGAGTGACCTGGAGAGCCAAAAGTGGAAAATGGAGGCAGGAGAGTGCGCCTTAGGATGCAATGATAACCCAGATGTAAGACACAGCCTAATGGCTGCTTTAGCCATGAAGGGCACACTGGGGAGAACACATTAAGGTCTCTCCTCAACTTGATTTAACAAAGTTAACAGATTTCACTGACACAAATATGTCTGCCTCATCAAGGAGTTGTAAAATAAGAGCTTTTTTTTTTTAACTTCTCTGACTTCTAATTCCCTCAAACCTCTGCTTGGTCTCCTAAGTTTATAAGTGAGATGGGTAGTGTCACTTGGAATATAAAATTGTCTTTTTCTCATACATGAACTTTACAGGTAAACATTTATACCTCACTGTAAGGGCCTGCCTCTCCCAGAGGAACTGGCTTGTGGACCCCGGATGTAGGGGCGGGGCAGGCCAGGTGGAGACGTCCAATCGGTGGGGCGTGCGTATATCCACTGGGGTGAATTGGGATTCAATTGGCTGCCTGTGTAGGGGTGGGGCTCAACCACCCCCATAAAGGTTGGTCTGCAAGGCTGTCGAGGAAAGAAGAAGGAGAGCTGTCAGAGGAAGAAGAAGGAAGAAGAAGAAGCAGAAGCAGAAGAGTCGGCGGGAGCAGCAGAGAGAAGAGTCGGCAGGAGCAGAAGAAGAGGTGTAAAAGCTCTTGTAAGAGCTATAAGCGCCGCTGGCAGTCCCGACGCCTGCGGCCCCGAGCCGCCAGTGGCCCCACCGCCTGCAGTCCCGATGCCTGCGGCCCCGAGCTGCCGGCAGCCCCGAGCCACCAGCGGTCCTGCCGCCAGCGGCCCCGAGCCGCCTGCGGTCCTGAGGCCCTGAGCCGCCAGCGGCCCCAAGTTGCCAGCGGTCCAGACGCCAGCAGCCTCGCCACCCACCGAGACACCAGCGGCCCCGACGCCAGCGGCCCCGCCCACACACTGTGACCCTAGGCAGCAGCGCCGTGGGGAACGGACTAGACGCCAGCAACCTCACCGCGAACCCTGAGCCGCAGCCTCGCTGGAGCTGTGTCATTCCGGTGAGCGGCTTCGTCTGGGAAGAGGCCTCCTCGATGAGCGGCATGGTCGAGGAAGAGGCTTCCTCCAGAGTGGCCTTGCCGGAGCAGCCTTGTCCGGGGAGTGGCCTCGCCGGAGCAGCCCCTGTCCAGGGAGTGGCCTCGCTGGAGCAGCCCTTGTCCGGAGAGCAGCCTTGTCCGGGTAGCGGCCTCGCCAGAGCAGCCCTGTCCAGGGAGCAGCCCTGTTTGGGGAGTGACCTCATTAGCAGCGGCCTCGACTGGGGAGTGGCCTCGTCGGTGAGTGGCCTCGTCCGTAGAGGTGGCCTCCTCTGGGGAGCAGCCTTGTCAGAGTGGCGTCATGGGGAGCAGAGTCTATGTCATTGGTGTTGTCCTCCTTGTCATTGTCGCTGTCATCATCACCTCTTCATCATTGGGAGTGGCTTCCTCCAGAGTGGCCCCTTCTTGGGAGCGGCTCCAACTGGGGAGTGGCCTCGTCGGTGAGCAGCCTCATCTGGAGCGGTGGCCTCCTCTGGGGAGCAGCTTGTCAGAGTGGCGTCATGGGGAGCAGAGTCTGTGTCATCAGTGTTGTCCTCCTTGTCATCGTCGCTGTCGTCATCGCCTCTTCGTCATTGGGAGCGGCTTCCTCCAGAGTGGCCCCTTCTTGGGAGCGGCTCCAAGCGGGGAGTGGCCTCATCGGTGAGCGGCCTCGTCCAGAGCGGTGGCCTCCTCTGGGGAGCAGCCTTGTCAGAGTGGCGTCATGGGGAGCAGAGTCTGTGTCATTGGTGTTGTCTTCCTTGTCATCGTCACTGTCGTCATCGCCTCTTCGTCATTGGGAGCGGCCTTGTCCTGGGAGCGGCTTCCTCCAGAGTGGCCTCTTCTTGGGAGCGGCCCTGTCTGGGGAGCGACCTCACCAGCAGCGGCCTTCTTGGGAGTGGCCTCTTCTTGGGAGCGGCTCCAACCGGGGAGCGGCCTCATCTGCGGAGCAGCCTCGTCTGGACCGGCCTTCTTGGGAATGACCTTGTCGGAATCATCTTCGTCGTCTTTTCGTAAGAGACAGCCCTGACCGGTCAGTTTGATTTTTGATGCTTGGCGTGAAATAAAGCTTTGTTTGATTTTTGCTTTATATCAGTCTCGTTCCTTTGATCACTGATCCTAACATTGGGGGCTCGTCCGGGATCAAATGATGAGAACTGAGCCAGCATCGGAATTTTTAGAAAAAGCCTCCGGAGGTATTGGGATCTTGGGTATTGGGATCCTATCTGTCTGTCTGGTTGGAGCTCCAGTGTATAGCCCACCGGGGAGAAGCTGGACGCAGCCATGCTCCCCAGGGCTGGAGTGGATGCGGGGACGCCCCATCCCTCTGCTTATAGATTGACAGGGGGTTCGAGTCCCCCTGGGCGGTCGGGGGTGTCGAGCCCCCCTAGGCAGTTGGGGGATAAAGAAAGCCCCCACCAGTGGCAGGTTCTGGGTAAGAACTGCTGGGCCTGTGGTTGTCTTTGTCTTGTCTCTTCGTTGTCTGCTGTGCTGTTTGTTGTTTTTGAAGGAACGGGGCAAACAGAATAAGGGGGCTCTGACTTTCGTCTCTCCATTCCTCCTAATAGATGTGGGGCTTCTCCCTAACTCATTTCGTGTGTTAAGGGCTATAACTGGAGCCAACTGGGGTTGGTCTAATGCTGGGTTAAGGTGCCCAATGTTGATGCTCATTGGAGCCAGGTGTGGAATATGAGTGCCCAGTGGGCCACTTTTGGTAAGCAGAACTGGCACTGCGGGATGAACTGAACTCGAGACAGAGACTTTAAGGAATATTCCCAAGCAACTGCCGAAACTCCCTTTGTTTCGGGGAATTCCTTGCCTTCTCTGGCCCCACATGGACTGCCTAGCCCCTTCCCCTTGCTGGCAGGGAAAGCATGGCATCTGAAGTGGAATGGGCCCAGGTGGAACATGAGGTCTGTTGGTGGAGGGATGGCTGGGCTGATGGTTAACTGTCTCAGGGTTTTAATGGGTAATTGTTAAAGTAGCTTTCGGAGTCTTTGATAACCTGAAGCTTTGAAGTTTTGCTTGGATGACAAATGGGATGAAGTGCTAGGGCGCTGGTTGCTGGAAC